TCAATTCACCGGTTTTAAACTGTTACCTCCAACAATTCAACTTCGACTTCTAAGTTAGAAAGTTATGACCATGAGAACAATAAAGAACATAAGTGAAATAATGCTCGTTATTTAAAAAAACAGTTGTCGTGTTCTTTCTTAATAACATTCTTTTTAATCCATGTTCGTAGGTCAAAAAAACATGGTGGAGACATCCGTTTATTGCTTTAGTAGCCTCAGGTGAAGTGAAAAGATGGATTATTGCAACTGCTAGTATGAAACCTGGAGATATTATACGTTCACATGTAGATATCCCTACTATTCCAGGTAAAACTTTACACACTCATTACATCTTTCCCCTCCCCCTTCTTAAATCTTACGATTAGTATTTAGATAACAACTGTGTTAAAGATATTCTTGAACCACTCTTGTTGTTGAATCTTTTCAGCTACCGACTAGTTGGGTTTAGGCTCATTAACCAGTTAGAAAGATAAATTGATTGACTTTGTATTTTTGCATACAACTAATGTCAACATATTAGGAGTTACTTCATATTACGGATGAAACATCTGCCAATTTCATTTATTATAATGCTCAATTGAAGGTCTGACATTTAGACTCTTAATATAACTATCAAAAAGTTATGAGATTTACTAAGACATCAACAAATTTAAGTTCCATTATTAACGACTGGTCGCAATCACTGATCATCCCAATATATAAGAAAGGATCAAAGTGATCCTGTGGTAACCATAGAGAGATTAGTCTGACTAGTATAACGTTTAAGATATTAGCATCAATAATTATTGGGCGCCTAACAAAGACTCGTGAACTGCAAACACGAGAAAATCAGATTGGCTTCAGACCTGGTCGTGGCTGCATCGGCCACGTATTCACCAGTCGTCAGATTATAGAACACAAGCATGCTTATAAGCGTGGTGGTGGTCTTCCTTGACTTAAAAGCAGAGTTTGACTCTGTTGACCGAGAGGTTCCGTGGCAGTGTCTGTCATTGAAAGGCGTACTTCAGAAGTACATAAACCTTGTGAAGGCTCTTTACTCGAACACTACTAGTCGAGTGAGAGCTTATGGCGAACTGTCACTTGCTTTTGCAGCCTCAAGTGGCGTCTGTCAAGTCTGTCCACTTTCTCCATTTTTGTTCTACTTCATCATAGATCTGCTGATCGAAATAACGCTCTCATCGACTGAATTCTCGGGCATCGATCTCCTACCAGGAGGTCGACTTAGAATACAAAAATGATATATTCCTGTTTAGTGAAGACGCTGATAAAATGCAGTCTTTTGGTAGCACTGAGCAACAATGCAAGGATGTTTGGGATGCGCTTCTCCCCCTCTAAATGCAAGTTGTTGCTTCAGGACTGGCCTGCGTCAACACCTGAACTAAGGATAGTGAGTGAAGTAGTCGAACGCGTTGACAACTTCACTTATCGTGGGAGTCTGATCAGTCCTAATGGGTTGGTGTCTGACGAAATCTCAGCATGGATTCGCAAAGCTCATTTGGCTTTTGCCAAATTACGTCACCTATGGCGAAGGCGAGATATACGTCTATCAATTAAACGAGTATACTGCGCGACAGTTCGTTCTGTTCTACTTTATGGCTGCGAAACGTGGCCATTAAGGGTGGAGGATACTCGTAAGCTACTAATGTTTGACCACAGATGTCTTAGAAATATTGCTCGCATCTGCCGGGATCACCGGGTAAGTAATAGTGAGGTTAGACGCAGGGTATTAAGGAATGATGGTAAATCAGTTGATGAGGTTGTGAATCTTCATCGACTGAGATGGTTGGGCCACGTGTTGCGTATGCCTGAACATCGATTACCACGACGCACAATGCTGATTAGTGTTGGGGATTGTTGGAAGAAAGTTAGGGGTGATGAAACCAAAACGTGGCATCAGTGCTTGAAGTCACTAACTTGTGGTCTGAGCCATGTTGATAGGTGCAGACTACTTAGTTGTGGTCTGGGTGACATTGCTCAGAACTGATCACAATGGCGTAGGTGTGTACACTCTTTGTTTTCCCTTAAACCATGGGACTAACATTGCTTTATACCTTTCCTTCTACGAACTAATTCTTCCTCTCTGTATCATATCCTTATATGCAATCTTTTTTATATATTACAATTGAAGTAACTGCTCCTATGAATTTGGTTTTCATGTTGCTGTGCTAATGAGGTGTGGCAATTTGGACCGATTCATATATGTGCCTGGTCCTACGCTGTAGCTAACTGACTGACAATATTAATGACAACAATGAGGAAAAATATCGAGATGATTTGTTTACGTGAATTAGAACCAAGCTATACAAATATTAACTACTGATCTTATCAGTGTACTAAAAAGTAAGCTTTATGTGGCATATTAGGAGTAATGCATCGGAAAGTTTAAGACTCATTGATATTTCATTTTGTTTACCATTCCGTTTGAAAGTGGGATTACTTATTGTACTATTCTTCGACTTCTAAAGCTATGGACAGTTCATTTAGTTATCATCTCCATTTTAGTTTTTTTTTAATTAATTGTAAATTTATACTCGAATGTAGATGATGCGATCTCGATTCTTGACTAGTGCAAAGATAATTTTCAACAATAGTAATTGAGTTTTAAGAAAACTGTACAATTCGTTAATATATTTTCCTAAATATCAATATAAGAGGCCAGACTTTGTTCCTTACGGCTTATATATATATATATATATATATATATATATATATATATATATATATATATATATATATAGTTAGTTAGTTTAAACAATATATTTCGCCTCTTACTAGATACTCGTTAAATTGTAATAACAGCCAAAGTCCTTCCGTTTACTTTAACATTTAAACCTAGCAATTGGTCTTCTATAATTTTACTTTATGAAACCAAGTTACAGTTTCAAATGAACTAGTGTTCAATTTTCTGCATTTAATGATCTCAATAATCTTAATTTTCTTGGACTATCTATATATATTTTTCTTAATGTAGTTGATCCAAAAGAAGGTGATGCTCATCCAATTGGTGCATTACCAGTTGGTACAATCATCAGTCAATTTGAAATAAAACCTGGTCAAGGTGCTTTATTCTGTCGAACAGCAGGATCTAGTGCAACAATATTTCGACGTGGAAAATATGTTGGTTCAAAATTAGATGAAGAATTAAATTTCACATCTTCAACTGGTGAATTAGGAGATGAATATGTTGTATTTGTTAGAACAAATGGAAAACGTAAGATTTATCGACTTTTACCAACATGTATGTGTGTAGTTGGACAAGTTTCTAATGAAAATCATGATAAATTTAGGTAAGTTAATTGTGAATAACTGAATTTCATATCATTAATAATTATGTATCTTTTCATCGTTTGATATTTCTATTAAGTGTCAACATACTCATTGTAGTGTGCCTCCCCACGGAAATCTTTAGTAAAAGGGAAGGCACCCGACCGTTGTTGCTACCTTGACTTGGTGGTCGGGCTTGCCTATCGTGATGAACCAATCAAGCTATACTGGCAGGAACGATCGTTCCTCAAGGTCCTACCATGCCAGGCAGGTCGGTTGAAGAGCAGTAAGACTAAAAGCAACAAACACAAGGTCTGAGGGCGAAGTCGTACTGCTGATTGTACAGAGGTGTGACAGTAGTAAGGTGTTTCCTTCAGACAACCAGCATGACAGCGATGTTGCCTTCCCACAAGGAGGGGTGGGGTTAGAAAAGGTCGACCCAAAAAAATGCTGACCTCACCTTATCCCACGGACATCCGTCTCTGGCGGTAAGGCCTCAACAAGCACGGAGCTAACCCAAAAACTACTCATAAAAAGGTCATGTGTGACCGACCTTAAGCAGCTGTCCATTGGGCACTGCGGTCACGCTCTCAGATCACTATGACCACCTCTGATCCAATTTCCTTTTCAGGTACCTCTAGAAGAACCCTTCCACGGTGTGGGCAACCGGGAAGTGGTAACCGCCCTCATGCCTCTGACAGCACTCAAGACCACTGTATTCATAATCATAAGTGTCAACATATTTTAAATGCGTTGGGTACATATTCTAGAAATCATGTCGTTTTAATTTCTATAGTGTTATCAGTAACTACACTGTCATTTTAAACTGGATTATGTCAAATAAGGTTTATTTCCAGTGAAGATTATTGTTTATTTACATAAGGAATTTTTTTCATGCTTATTTAAAGATTTACACTACTTGCTTAGTATTATTATTGATGTATAGAGGTAATTGACAAGTAATCTTATACATTGTTTGGGTTTTTATTGAGATTAATACTTTCTGTTACATGGACTCAATTTGTTTATTACTATGAGAAGTGTACCATGTCAAAATTCACCAGTCTATTTTTCGATTAAAATATTCGTATACCTGGTCGATCAGAATACACCATGTGTAAAGAATAAGATATGTATGAAGCTTTACATGCAATTCTCGGACAATGTGATATTTTGTTTGTAATAATTAAGTAAATCATTAGATTTTAAGATATTGCACGTTTATCGCTAATATTATATTTATTTATCTTTTTTTCATTTATATATGTACATTTAGATTTCGTAAATTTGGTGAAAAGAAATGGAGAGGAATAAAACAACGCAGTGGATTGTGGCAGCGTAAAACAGGAAGATTTGGTCGAAAAATACGACCAATCGGTCCACCTATCGACCTTGTAGCATGTCAAAGTTCACCAGACTACTTTAAATTAAAATGTTCGTATCCTGGTCGATCAGAATACACCATGCGTAAGGAACAAGATATGTATGAAGCTTTACATGCAAAAACCATACGAAGACCACAACCTATTCCTGGACGTTACAATGCATTACCTGACAAAATGCCACGATATCGTTGGTGTTCTTGGTCATCTGTACGATAAGAAGCACAAATGCTACAAATCTTATAAATTAGATTATATAATATCTGATGGTTGTACTAAATGGTTATTAACATGCGAAATATTACACGCATTTTATCGGTAATCACCTACTGTAGCTGTTTTATAAGAAAGAAATAATGTGGAAGTGAATTTATTTAAATCTAAAACCATGAATGAACCAAGTCAACAGCTATATCTACTGTGTCATAACGATGACGCTTGTATAAACGAGGCAGGTCATAGCGAAGTTCTGCAACCACTTTGCCTTGTGCACCAATACTCTGTATTGTATGTAGAACATGCTATATAGTTATTAAAAAAAAGTAGACATGAACGAGCAAGCATTTTGACTCAAAGTAATTATAAAACAGCATAGTAAACCGTTAATTGGTGCACACTTTAGTACATAACTCCTGAACAATATTTCTTATCAAAATTGTATTTAGATTATTGTGTTTAGATGCTCGAGTCAAATTTTTGCAGTCGTATTTTTGTTCGCTATTCGAGGTGTACCTACTGCATCACTTAACACGTAGTAAGAATTAAATGACTAGTCTACAGACTTAGTTTCCAAAAGACCCTTCATAAAACATGTTGGGGTTTACAAAATGTGGTTAAAATGTTTGATTGTGTAATGCAAGTATCGTATAAGTAATTGATACTCCATTAAGTAGCTTGTGGCTTTAGTTTGTCCGTTATATCACTTATAGGGTCATAAATTTTCTATTTCTCGATAAACAATATAGCTGAGTCTCATATATTAATTGGCAAGTTTCCACCAGGCCAATTAACCAAACACTGGGTGTCATTTTAGTCGTTAAGAGTTAATTCAAAAATAGCGTACTTGGCTAGTAAACTATGAAGTCTTCGAGACCGACAACATACGTTTTTTGCTAGCAATTATGGAATAGTTAGCTCAGAAGATTAGCATGAGCTAGGTATTCGCAATGACCTGTTTGTTCAGATTCGCACGCCACTAGCTTTCATTCACAGTCACTGATCTAGTAGAACCTTCGTTATAAATATTTTATAACTTGAAACTCATCATACTTACGTTTCGTGTAGTAGTTTTATGGAGCGAATATACATGTAAATGGGCAATGGACAGCGCAGCACGTAGAAATGCCATGTCAATACCTGAAAAAATAAGATCGATGTGTCAGTAAGACGTTACCATTATTTTTTGGGTTAGTGCCAAAAGGAGGATTTAGAATAACTGTATCCACAAATTTGTTGTTGTTCCCATGAAAGAGCCGTAGTACATCACACAAAGTTACATCAATATTTTCATCTAGCATTTCACATGTTTCTAGGTTTGATTGAAACTCATTTACAGCATCCTCATCAATTTCGAACCCCAGTACACAACTGATATCTATTATTAAGGTTGATGGAGTGTCGGTTTCCTACCTGGCTCCAAGGAGTTTAGCACCGATAGACAACATTCCAGTACCACATCCAAGATCGGCTACAGACATCCCTTCCAATGCATTATCTGTCATTTGAATATTAAACAAGATGTCCGCTAAACAAATGGTAGATTACTTTTAGTATTTCATCAACTAACCTGCAACTTGTGCTGAGGTACAGTACTGTTCAAACTCAAGTTTTGGGTTTTGAAATGTCTTAACATTTTCCAACTGATGGTGTAGTTTTTTTCGACTTAATGTGGGCATACCACAAAGTGATAATTTCTCCGAAATCTTACCTACAAAAATAGTAGTTACAATACAGTACTAGATAAGACAAACCATTAGTGAAATGTAGAAAACAGCAAAAACCCGGTGTCACTTAATTCATATCATGAGTAGGTTTGCGAAGATACGTTAAATGTCTAACCAAACAAATGAATAAGTTCTCAATGTACGAAGGGAATCTGGCTACTTACACTGATTGCTATCAGTTCAAAACTAGGAATCCAGGCAGGATGTCGATATCAAACGAGAAGCAGTTGGTTCATGATTGCTAGGATTATCCTACTTTGGCAGAACTGGCAAGTGAAAGTATTCCACTATTTAAGAAGAAGCAAGTGGAATAGCGTGTAAAGACACCGCCGATGTCAAAAACCTCGTCACCGTACATATGTTGTATTTTTTAGACAAATGACCGATAATTCTAGAGAAAGCTCGTCGTAATAGTTCAGTGCTTACTAGGAATGGTCTATACTTAATGGAATTTAGCAAATCGAGTGGTCAAGAGGACACTGATCCTCCAATTGCGCAAATTATCAGGCATGGACGCTGCACTTAGTGACTTTATTTGAGATGCCATTGGGTCAGTCAAATGTCATAAACTACTCGACCGTCAAAACTCCAAGTATTACGTAACGCACAAGCTGGTTTCACTTAGACCATGGATTTCCGAAGTTTACGTTCGATTTCTAACATCTGAAAGAATGACTTCACCAAAAGAAACACTTTAGAGTTACTTATAAAGCTTTCTGTACAGAATAATGTCTTAGCATTATCACATTCGCTCCTAAAGCAGTAGTTAGCTCCATGATCGGGTAGATCTCAAGGGCGTTAGAGATTTTTTGAGAAAAACCCGGGCAGAGAGGAATTTCGAGTGATTCACTCTGGTCAGTGGATCTACATTTTCAAGGTCAATTTAACCTCGCCTAAAGGTCGTTCATAAAATATAGTCTTACTGAAAGCTTTAGTCGCGTATCAAATCGACAAATCTCTTATTAGGGAAACATTTATTGAGATTTGGCAAGGCCGTAGTCGGTCTAAAATAAAGCAGAGAAGTTTATTAATTACAGCTTATGCCCTGCTAAGAACGCTGACAACTCAATAAGACAAAGTGATATCAGTTCTCTTCCAACATCCACCGTTAACAACATTGACACGGATGTCTCTTGTCTATATATGTGGATAAATCCATGTTTTCCCTACCCAGACGACCAAAAAAAGAGTTTGGTATTCAAAAGTACGTTCGTTCAAGACAACTTACAGAAAGAACATGGACCAGATATTACTAATTGTGTAAACGATATTCCAAATGCATTTTTCAATAAACAAACTAATTTTCACTGTATCATGTAAGTCAATAATGCTTTAATCCAGTGAACCGAAAGAGAGACTCATGACTATATCTAATTTGTTTACAGTTTTTTTATGCCAGACTACCTTTAAAGTAACGCTATCTTCGTATTCACGCGATCTCACAGACTAGTGTTTCGTGAAGCAATATCCCATTGTTTACATTGCTCTCACGTTTTGTTGCTAACTTTAGTATTTTAGCTTCTTTCAACGCTATAATAACTAAATTCGACAATTATTTAGAGGTTGGCAAGTCCTTTGTATTAGTGAATGTGTTTGAATGATTTGGCTATGGGTCAGTGTCATCTCACGGACCCTGAAAATTAATCTAATTAGTTCTTCAGAAGGTGATATTCTCTTATGTGTTCTGTACCCGAACACTTTATACTACTTTTCAGATTGCAAACAACTTATTTTCTGCCTAGTAATGTGATAGCTACTGTCTCGAGAATCCTTATTCTCATAAGCGCGCTCTGTCAGTTTGAAATACATTAAAATCAGGAGGTTTTGTCTAACTTCTTCTTCCACAAAATTTAACGTCTCTGAGGCAATGCTGTTTCCTTTTTCTCTACTGGTGTCCATCAATCGCTCTTTACAGGGACTGGAGTATATGGAGTGTTTAGTAATTTCGTCATCGCATACTCTTGAACCATTCCAAGTAAAAATGAAATAAGAGAGAACGGAGTACCGAGCTGCTCGTGTTTTATCTAATGTCCCAGTGTTGGAGTGTAGCATATTAGTAAGCAAGGTGGTATTTGGTAAAGAAGAGTAGGACAATTACTGCAAAATGTTAGGATAATATATTGATTAAATATCGGCTTCTAGTGCATGAGTTCCATGTCCGTGCAGCGACAGAATGTAGTGTTCATGGTACGGTGTTTTTCGACGTGATCACAAACGATATAGTTCGGCAGGAGAACACTGTTCCTCACTTAAACTACGCTAGAAGAGACAGAACGACTATGGGAGCATCCTAAACACCGTCTATTGCCCCCATATTAGTGGAAGCTAACAATGGATTAGCACGGGAAGCTAATGAGTGATGTCAATCAAGACGACATCTAACATAATTAACCTCAAAGAAATCATACATCTAGAAAGCAAAGATCCCGAGCAAAGCGATGGGTGAAACGCTTGCCAATGAAAAAACGCAGAGCCTGGGATAAGCGACAGGTTGCGGGGATGACATCTGATGGAGTCTCCACTCCCAAACCGATTTGAGAAATACCAGCAATACGAAAGTCCGCAGCAACAGGAAATGTTTTCAGGTCATGCTGGTGGTTAAACATAAGCAAACAAAAATACCTCTAAAGATTCATGACCACGAGGATTTATACAAACCAGATAATCTGCACCCTCTAATAGCCAAATGGCGTGGGTCTCAGTAGATTAGAGATTAGAGAGTTTGATCTTTAGTGCCAAATTCATAGACCAGCTAAATCAGAAGCTTACAACTAAAAAACACCTCTCAACTCTGGTGACAGTTGACGCCGTGGGAGTCATCTTACCAACTGCCGAGTTGGTATTATTGAGACTAAGGCCCTGCACCCTGGAAAGTAAACCAAGATGTGACGTCATCCATCATATGATCCTAAAATAGTGAATAGAAGTCATCAGCACACCTATATACAACTTCTTCAGGAGTTCACCACACCCATATTAACTTCAAAGAGGATGGAAACAGGTCACTCTCTCTCAAATCTTCAAAGTGATAGATGGAAATCCCATCTAGCTACAGACCAGTAGCATCACTCTCATTGCTGTTGAAGGTAATACAAGGACTGGTCAATGAACAAACTAAGGAATAAAGGCAACACTTTATGAAACCCGACATAGGCTCGGGAAAGGAAGGTCATATGCATACAATCTTCCCATAGCATTGGAAAACTGAACAACGTGCTGTAACCATAAGACACCGGTTCATGTGGTACTCCCCAACTTCGCAAAGGCTTTTAATACAATACCTCATGTACGTCTCATAGCGATGATTTCAAAGATGGGTTTCACTGGCCCATTTTTATCCTGGCTCACGAAACACCCGCAACATGATTTTTCGTATCATCTCAAATAGAATGCATACTAGTTTATAGGTCTGAACATTTGGATTTTCACAAGAAACAATCTTAGGTCCACTCTTGTTTCTAATCTTTATAAACAACCTGTTAGATAATGTTAGTACTGGTCTAAGCAAACGACGTGACGACCTAGAGATCCATAAAAAGCGAAACGAGTTCACTTGAACATGAAATGGATCTTACAACAATCGAGGAATGGAGAGTAGATGAGTTCAAACTCAACTTCTCAAAATGTCATGTCATCAACGTTCTGACAAAGCACTTATACCATCAACAGAAATTCACCTCCAATTATTGCCACACGACGTGATCCCAGTCTTGTAACAGCCAATGAACTAGACACTAGTTCAAACTACATGGACGATGTAGCTAATGAAACACAACTCTTTACTTCATGTGTTGACAACTTAGCGCAATCACCTCGGGGTTGTTCCTGACACTTTTTAAGACGTACTCACTATCCCACCATGAAATGCACAATACCGTTGCCTCCTATTTCCTTCTCGGAAAAAGAAAAGAGACGGGAAACCATCAGGGTGATAGTGCTAGGAGATAAATCTCACGAGGATAGACTCCAGTACCTGGGGTACTTCTTGCTGAGCTACAGGAAAATAAGACGTGGTCTGATTATGGTATACAACATGTTGAGTATGTCAAGAGGAGACTTAACAAAGGCGTACTCATACATGGAGAACCATACTTTTCTGGACCGGCTGTGTCAGATTCATGTCTCATGAATTACCACAGTTGTCACTACTGCATAACCCACTTCCTATGTCTCTTACTGTCCACTTCGTTCCCCTATTAGTCCCTAAATTCTGTCTTCTAACACATTATTGATTAGGTAAAATATCTTCTTATTCTTGAAACAATAATCTCTTAGCATTACTTTCACGTTGCAACCAACCAACCTCTTACCTTGTATTGTGATATCTGCTGATTTCCAGAAACCGTATTCTTCAGGCACAAACTAACCCTCTCGGCTACAAATTAGACACTTCAACAAACCACTGGCTCACCGACTATAACGACTGAAGCCGAGTGACTGGACAGAAACCTATTGAACATAACAGAATACTTTAAATCATACAAGTACAACAACAAGCGGCCGAAAGAGATCAGTTGATTTATATAAGCTCGTGACCAGGATGTTGGGAGACATATATTTGAATTCAACTCGATTCTCGCCTTTCTTAAAACGAACCTGAATGGCCACCAAACTAGTCCAGTTGTAGCTGTTAGTTGTTAATATGTTTTTAACATGGTGCGTTTGTCTCATAGCAGTACAGTTTCTGGATAGCAGCAGTCGATACATTTCCAGGTAAGAGGTGTTGTGGTTGATGGCAATAAGCAGCGAAAAGAACGTACATTATCTAGATGTCGATTAACCGCACTGCTAACTTCCAACTGGCGATCACTCAATATTTATCGTCAGGTACTATTTTCTCATAAAAAAATTTTTGATAACTATCAATATGTATTAGGAGTATTACTAAATTCTGTCACGGCTAAGCAATAATGAAGCTGAGAATATCTCCCCGTAATTAATCAAGCCATATCAAACTTAACAACCTAACTGGAACATTGGTTGGAATTCCCCATGATTATACTTTTGTTCTTTCAGTCAGCCTACTAATGCAGATGTTATCTAAAATCAAGTCATATGGTCAGCTTACCGGCATAAACGTTTTTTGACTTCACAATTTAGACCAGAAGTATTACCAATATTAACATTTCTAAGATCTTGATCGTTTTTAATATATGCTCGTGTGGTTCGGGTCCAATAACATGACAGGTTCTTCGTAAGCGTTTTGTAGAGGATGTCTTAGAGAATCAATATAGATAACTGTAAATGTACACATATCCAAATGCCTGCTAATTAGCTCTTGTAAGAAAACTAGTCAGTTGAAACGTGCCCATTATCATTCATGTGGCCCGTTAGTCTTTCACAAAAGGAAGCGGGGTCTAAACATACAATCCACCTTTGTGCATTATTAGTTGACCAGGTAAGGTTAGACTAGCTCCATGAACGAGTTGTGCAGTTGCGCATTGAAAGTTTTCCTTTCATTGTAGGGCATATGCCCAATAAAATGAAAGCTAAGAATTTACTCCTTCTAAGCTGTGCCATCAGCGAGCTTTTCAGTTGCTTATGAAGTCGTTCCACTAGTCTATTTCCTACTGTGTTGTGCTAAACTCACACAAGGCCATTCTTAAAAAACACTTGCTTCCGTGTAGCGTAAGTAAAAAAACATGCAAAGGTAGGATGCAGTAACGATCAGGTCCCCAATCCTGGTCATTCATAGGTGCCATCTGAAGTGGGGATACTCAGAAAATACTCGCTGAATGTATTGTTCAAATATTCATCGTGCACTCAAACTCGGCTGTACGTCGCCAACGCAGATGGTCTATGTTGAATAATTGGGGGCCTACTGGAGTTACACGGGAACGGTGTGATTAAAAGCTAACTTGGCAGTCACTACTCACGATCAGCACCTAACGTAAACCACCCCTTCATCGTACAAAGGTATCATATCTTCATTGAAGGCCATCTAACACAAAGAGTGTTATTGCGAAAATGTATTAGTAGATGTAGGTGCAAGGGAGACGTTGCAACCACTACCACATGAGCCAGTCCATGGCGAGTGATTAATTGATACGAATTAGTTGTCCTTGAACTCGACAAGGATCTGTGAACTGTTCGACATTCAGTGACCCAACTGCCGAATGATTAAGCTAGTCTCAGTAACATTTCACTGGCCCTACAATACTCCCACATTGGATTGGTACCAACACATGTCGTGCACCAGAGGTTGCAAAATGATTAATGCTAATCCTCCGGGTATTGCTAATTTGTGAGGCGAAGTGGCCGGAGGCGACAGAAACTGATCGGGAAATGGCAAGCAATAATATATTTCTAGAACGTTAGTCGAATGTACGGCGATTAACCATAGAAAAAATGGAAAATGAAACATGACCTTTTTAAATTTATATCAAGTGGCTTTGGAATAGATGGCTTTGAGAATTGATTGAGTTCCTCGGATAAGAAATACA